CCTATTTTCTCTGTCGCTCTGTATGCCAGCCCTTATGGGCAATGAAATTCTAAATTTAGAGTTTAACCCCTAACCAACATAAACAATGTCCTTAGTAAAAAGTCTCCTTAATGTTGGTTTAGATGTGCAGGGTAAATAACTTGTGTTACCCATCCTTTTAAAAAATTTCTAGTGCTCAGCCTCCATGAAATGGACTGCTTATGGAGGGATAATGTCTGCTCTGTTCCTTTTTAAGTCTGTGAAAAATGTCATCCTGGTTAATAGGGTGATTAAAACTCTTTATGCTCCAGGAGATAAATGTGATTATGTTTGTCATATACTATCCAAGATAAAGACAGCAAGGAAGGCAAACTTGAAATTCTATAACATTTCCCCTCTTCCATATCCAGGAACATTCAGAGCTCAATACACAGATGGTAATCCACATAAAAGAATGAGATTATCTGTTGAACATTTTTCCCTTCCATTAACCAATTTAACAATATGCTTTTGATATAAAAGGAACAGACAAATGACAAAATCTTCTGACATCTAAATTCTGACTGTAGAAAAACACTATTTTATTAGATTGTAAGGTTTTCATCTGTATTTTTTTTTAGCCTCTAAAAAAAAACCCTTGCAGTCAACATAATTCCAGTTGTGCATACACACTTTCCCAACCTGTCTTACCTCATTAGGCCTCTGATCCATGACCATTCTTAGAACATTAACAATCTCAAACTTTGTTTTTTAGCATCTTTTATATTTCTACTCCCTGTTTTTTGTTTTTTTGCTTTTGTGAGGCAATTAGGGTTAAGTGACTTGCCCAGAGTCACACAGCTTGTCAGTGTTATGTGTCTGAGTCGGTAATTGAATTCAGATCCTCCTGACACGAGGAGGACTGGTGCTCTATCCTCTGCTTCCTGTTCTGGAAGGTTTTATTTGGTAATATCAGCTAGGTCATGTGGTTGATATTTGAAAAAATAAATTTTGACAAAAATCTACCAAGTTCCTAAAAAGCCAGGAATAACCTTTTAATAATAATAATGATGATGATAATATATATATATACATATATATATGTATATATATATATATATACACACACATATATATTCTACTGTGTATTCTCATCTCTCCCCCTCTAAAAGAGTACAGTAAAATCACATAGTACAAAAATGTTACATTTAATCCAAAAAGGCTATAAACTTCTTGCATGGGCATGGATTCAAAGAGTGGAAAATGTGGTCAGGGATGTTGCTTCTGCATATCACTCAATCAGGGATTGAACCCCTGCATGACAGCGTTGGAGTCAGTTTGGACTGGGAGGGAGTGTGGGAAATGGCTGGTTTTCATTTCCACAGGGGTGAAGTCTGGGGGGCTGGGTGGAAGTTGCCCAGCCTTCCCAGGTCATTAATAAAGCTTCTTCCTGATTCAACAATGGCTTCGTAGAATTCGTGATACAGATAGCAAGATGAAGCGTGTGATAGTGGATAGAAAGCTGGACTACATAGCAGGAGGACCTGATCCCAAGTCTCACCCCTAACATACACTGGCAGTGTAAATCCAGGGAGATCATGAAACCAGCTCCCTCCACTGTCCATCTCCAGCTCTCTGGAAGGAGAGGCTGGGTACTCCCGGTGTCTCCTCTTCCATTCCCTTTCCAGCTTCCATTTGTGTGTTGCCTTTCCCCATTAGATGGTAAACTCCTTGCAGGCATAGGCTGTCTTTCTTTTTCTTATTTGCTTAATAAATGTTTAATATTAAATTCAAAATGTTTATTCAATCCAATAAACATTTATTAAGCACCTATTATTTGCTAGGCACTGTGCTAAGTGCTATGGATACAAAAAGAGGCAAAAGACAATCCCTACTCTGAAGGAGCTTACAATCTACTGGGGGAAACAAGGTGGGAAGAAATATAGACAAAACAAGCTACATACGGAATAAATACAAAATAACTAATGGCAGGAAGGCACTGTAATTAAAGGAGGTTTGGGAAAGCTTCCTTTAGGAGGTGGGCTTTTATTTGGGACTTAAAGGAAGCCAGGGAGGTCAGTAGTTGGAGCTAAAAAGGGAGAGTATTCCAGGCATGGGGGACATTCAGAGAGAATGCCCCAAGCTGTCTGGTTCATGGAATAGCCACAAGGAGAGTGTCACTGGCTTCTAATAGTTTGTATCATGAAATAAGGTATAAGAAGAATGGAAAGGTAGACAGGGACTAGGCCATAAAGGGCTCTGAATGCCAAACAGAACCTTTTGTATTTGATCCTGGAGGCACCACAGAGCCACCAGAGTTTACTGAATGGGGGCAAGAGTGGCATGATCTGACCTGTGCTTCAGGGAAATCACTTTAGTTAGTGGCTGATGGAGGATGGACTGCAGTGGGAGAAACTTGAGGCAGACCCACCATCAGGCTATTGCAATAATCCAGGTGCGAGGCGAAGAGGGCCTACACTATAGTGGTGGCAGTGTCAGAGGAGAAAAGGAGGCATAATGGAGAGATGTCGCCAAGGTAAAAGTGACAGGCTTTGGCAAGAGAATAAAGAAGAGGGGTGTGTGTGTGTGTGTGTGTGTGTGTGTGTGTGTGTGTGTGTGTGTGTGTAGGAGGAGGAGAACATTAAGGGGAAAGACAATGACTTCCACTTTGGACATACTGAGTTTAAGATGTCTACTGGACATCCAGCGTAAGATGTCTGAAAGGCAGTTGAGGATTTGAGATTGGGGCAGGAAAGACAGATTAGGACATCTTTAGTATAAACCCTCAGGGCCACCAGGCCACTCTCCAGAACTGCTGTATAAGGTGTAGAGGTGCTGGTGATCTTCACTGGCAAAGGAAGTACCCTTCTGGAGAGTTTCCTACACCAGTAGCGTCAAACACATAACCTGAAGGCCACATACAACTCACAACACAAGCAAGTGTACCCAAAGCGGATTAAAATGTAATTGGGAAATACATAACAAAATAAAAATATAACAAAACATAGATAATGCTAACATGTGGTTTTCTAAGTCAACATGTGGCCCACAGGGATCCTTATGTATGGTTCAATAACCCCCAGTGCCTATTTGAGTTTTACCAATGAAATCCCATTACCAATTTTTTTAAATGGCATAGACTGGTTTAACATAAAAATCACGTTATTTGAGGCACATTTTATTTCTTTTTTTTCCCCCAGGTATATTGGGCTAACAAACTCCACATCACATTTACTTTGTACGTGGCCATCATCTTCAATCTACTTTATACTCATTTTTAATGTCTTCAACAAAAGCATTAATAAAGTTAATTATGCAGAAGCATTCACAATATATGCTGCATCTACTCTGTCATTTATTTTGCCAATTAACACAAAAAGCATTCCAAGGTTTCTGGGCTGGTTGTCATCAACATTAACAGGTAATATATATTACACAACCTGCATAGTATTAAAGGAGGTACTACAATGGGGTTCTTAAAGAACAAAGGATATTCCCTGCACTCAAGGGCTTACACTATAAAAGTTTATTTCAAACCATGGGCACTAAATAATTAATCAATTATTAATTAATTTCAGCTCTATTCTCTTAGAAAACTATGTCTTCTCTCCCTCTCTCCCAAACTCCATTCTGTGGAGGAATTCTGCATGCAAAGTAAAACAAGAATCTTAAATTCTAGCTACAGGTGGTTACCGGTACTTTCTGTAGTGCATACTACACTTTTTCATATAGACCTAGGTGCATACTAATCCATGCATCAGGGTATGTAACCCTAATGCACATGTTAGAAAAAAAAATCACTGGGAAAAAAAAAGAAGAAAATCACTGAATTAGTTTCTGATCTTTGTATTTGTCTTCTTCAACCAAGGCTATAAACCTTTTCCCACCTATGTTATTTAGTTTAAAATGAAAGATGAGTGAGATAAACCTTGAGACTGTACATATGTAGTCTTATAAATTTCACTATAATTTCTTGTTAGTGTTAGATTTTTATAATAAACTACATAAGAAACCCAGACACTGATTACACCTGTTTAATCACAATTCAGCAATCTGAGTGTGGCATCACAGTTTAGAGAAAAATGCTAAATTATACACTTGACATTTTTTATTTTTTATTAGAACTAAAAGGTTTTATAATAACAAATAAATTTCAAATGTACTTTATTAGACCTGATAACTGACTAATTAGAGCTTAAGCAATCATAAAGAAACTTCAAAATTGCTTTTCCAACCAGATGTTGTTTCTCTGGAAAATTTACATACTAAAAATATTTTTTCTTGTTCTTTTTAAAACTTTTAAGTCTCTGATAAATACAGTGATTGCAATTAGGCACTGTTCTCCATCAGTTTCTGTAAGAGACCACAGAGGAACAGAGAGTGTTTTCTTAATGTCAAATTCCTTAGAAATTTACTCACAGAAAATTCATTAGAATTATTACACTAAATATTGAATGTCAGACTTAATACCATGTGACTTTTTGGTTAAACATATTTGTTAGGTGGGTGGGTTCAACATTATGCTATTTTCACATTGATGACTGAAGTAAAATTATAATCTAACAAGTAGTGTTCAGGAATCTAGCATCAAATCATCTCACAAATGTACACTTCATAATAAATCATTCTTAAATTACATTAATCTGTTGCTGGTTTTTTATTTCCCTCAAAGTATAAAGATATGTAGAAATAGAATCAATGGCCTTTAAGTGGGGCACTGAATGAGTGAACAAAGGGTACAAAGCAAATGAAAAATCACTTCAAACAAATGATCTAATGTTACAATGAGCACCAAGAGGTGAATGTTTCACTAGCTCAGCTGGCTCTTAACAGGCCAGGTATAGTCAGATAATCACACAACAACATGGAAGGTTCCTGCAATAAACTCATTAAATTTAAAAGAATGAGCCACTATTATTTCATTATTAGCTAGGGTCATGACAGTCATCCTGCATTTATTAAGCACCTTCTACGTGCCAGACACTTATACTAAGCTCTGGGGATACAAAGAAGGACAAAAATCAGTGCCTGCTCTCAAGGAGCTTATGGTCTAAAAAAATTTTTTTAAGTTATTTAAAAATTTTTTTAAATGAACCACCTTTTAATTTTTAGCTTGGTTTTCCCACTTGGTGGTGAGAAGTAACAATGGTTTATAAAGATTCCTGTTAGAATATTTATCATAAAATTTGGCTTTTCAAGTGAGAACTTGTTTTTAAAGTTAATAGAAATATATCTAACTTTATATACTAATATGCAGTCCACAAGGGGAAGTTATTTACTTACTTACAACTAATGTTCTTTAAAACAACCCTCCAAATCTTGGAAAACATGTACCTCTCTCATTTGATTCCAAGATAAAGCAAATGCAGAATGACTTTGAGTTTTCATAGACTACACTGAAGATGCTGACAGCCATAGAGTCCATGTCCCATCAACAATTTGTTCACTTTCCTGAGTAGAAATCAATTTGACCTTTTTTTTCCTTTAAAGAGGATGATTATCTTGGCATTTTCAGCTACTTTCCCTGTAAGAATCACTTTGGAATTCTTTTATGCTCATCTCATTTGGATTTCAGTGCTTCCTCCCACTCAACAGATGACCCGGGGTTCTTGGGGATCACTGGAAATATTGATTGCATTTTACTCTGAAAGTCTTTCATCTAAAAGAAGGAAAAAAATCAGTCACCAAATGTTAAAAGAAGGTAAATATCAAAACTATCATAGACTGACACCTTTGCTGACTGGATACAATTGCACTGCTCATGGGTAAAGAACAAAAAGTAACACCTGAATACAAATAAAATATAGGATCAAATTCTGGTTCTTCTGAAAGAAAAACAGAATTCCTACTTTCCACATTCCAAGTAAATATTAATCTATGGATCTTAAAAACACATAAATCTCCTATATGATTATAACTAGTAAGATGCCTACAATTAACTACAAAAATGGTATTTGTTACTGGCTTTCGATTTAAAAGATACTGCTGGGGAGAGTATTGCTATGTATCTGAAAAATATGTATCTAAGTCCTACAGAGTTATGTATGAGTATATTTTATTCAAGAACTGGAACTGTAAAGTAATGAAGCTTTTCTAAACCCTAAAACCAACATAACAGAATTTATACCTCTAAATGACTGTTTCTCCTTTCAATGAAGCCACCTTGGTAGGCTATACACTTATTTCAGTGATGTTTCTTTTGCTCAAAACATTCTGGTAACTCTACCTTTGATAGTGTCTTTAAAGCCTCTGGGGTGTATTTTCTAGAATATCGAGGCTGGATTTTATTTTTGTAAAAAGGCAAAAGTCATTTAAAGCCAAGTCTGACAAATAAGGTAAATGAACAACTGATTAATAACAATTTTTGTTAAAACACACACCCTAAAGCATTTTTTAGAAAGAAACAAATCTTATTTTGTATAGTTTAAAAACTTGTGTCAAAGGTAATTCTCTAAGAGGAGGTTCCAGAAACATTTTCAGCAATGGAAGAATCATTAAGAGAAATTTACAATCTTCTACGGTAATTATCTTGAATGACAAGAATAATGGAAGATCTCAGAATCTCTGATATCTTCTCCAGCCCCCAAACCCACCCCTCTTCTGAAACTCTCTATTTCTGTGGAGGGCATCACCATCCTTCTAGTCTCCCCAGTGTGCAAGTCTGGTATTATCCTTTTTGCTCACTCTCTCTAACCCCACATAGCCACTCAGATGCCAATACTTGTACTTTGTAATTCTACAACATTCTGCCCCGACTCCTCTCCAGTCACAGGATAACCATCCTAGTTCCATCCCTAATCACCTCTCCTCTGCACTATTGCAATGGCTCAGTAACTGGTCTATTGGGCTTAGGTTTCCCCCCTCCAGCTCATCACACAGTTAACAAAGTTGATTTTCCTAAAGTACAGGTCTAAACATATCACTCCCTTGCTCAGTAAGCTAAATATGGTTCCCTATTGCCTCTTGGAATAAAATTCCTGCTTGGCATTTAAAGCATTTCACAATCTGGTTCCAACCTACCTTTCCAGGTATTATATATATTATAGCCCTTCCCAAACACTCTATGGTTCACCCAAACTGGGCTTCTAGTTGTTCCTCACACATGATGACAGTGTCCCTGTGCACTGGCTGTCCCGTGGAACTAAAATGTACTCCTCCTTCCTCATAGTTGCCCCTTAGAATTCCTTGTCGGTTTTTTCAAGACTAAGTCCAAGCACTATCTTCAAAAGGAAGCCTTTCTTGATCTCCCTAGTTCTTAGAGTGGTCCCTTTTAAAACTTACCTTGTATTTATTTTGAATAAATATTTTGAATGTTTCCCCCATAGAACACAAGCTCCTTGAGGGCAGTGAGAATTCCATGCCTGCCTCTGCATCTCCAGAGCCTAGTGCCTAGTACACAGCAGGTGTTTTAATAAATGTTTGTTGAATGAAAACTTTCATTTGAATGCATAAATGTTGATGTATATTTTTCTTAAGCCCCCAAACCAGTCCCATGTTTATTTTTGTTCCAGCTTCCCAACTTTCTCAGTTTATTAAGGAATATGAAAGTGAATACAAAAGGAACTTACAAGTATTCAACTCAGATTAGAGTTTCAGAAACTGGAAAAACCAATAGAAGTAAATAAGGTAAAAAAAAAGGGAATATTTTAAAGTAATAAGATCTCAATGAATGCTTTCTTTGAAAAAAGAATCAGAAGGTATAAGACATGGCAAACAATTAATAACAATGAAACAGATTATATTTTTAACATACAGGAAAGAATTCAACTATCACGTGGGAAATCATTCCAGAACTTGATGTCTATGTACAGTCAACCCCTTGGTTTGTTAAAACAAAAATATTAATTAATATAAAGCTAGATGCCTCAAAATAATTTTTAAAATGGCATAAAATTAAAATAATTCCAACAACTTAGTTAAACAAGCTATTGACACTGGAAGCTGGCACATAACAGGAGAAAAGGACATCAACACTGACTACAGTAATTTTATGTAGAAATTTAACTGATTTAAATCAATGCAATAACTAGAAAAGACCTAAAGGGCCTAAAAAACTACTTTGTTAGAAAAGACTTAACAAATGAGAAAAGCAGCAACCAAGGACAACATGGATTTATTGGATTTTATTAGATTCAAAACACTGGATTTTATTAGAAGAAAAAACATATTTGTAAAACCTTATGGGGAAGCATAGTGGAAGATTATGAATAGTGTCACCCTGTAAACAGTAAGAAATCAACGAAGGGAAAAACCAATATAAAGACAGCTTGGTGAGAGACCCAACAAGGCAAAGTCATCTCAGGATAAAACTGGAAGGATAAAAGATGAAAAGATTTTTATAACAAACCTTTTTCAACATCAAAGAGAGTCCACCACCACCATCAAAAAACAATTCCAGATGTGCATATAAATGAGGTGGAAATGGCACTTAAGAGAACAAAGATGGGAAGAACAGCTAGACAAAGTCAAATGTACACAGAAGAGATGTAGTCTGGAGAAGCAATAATTTTGCAGGAGTTGAGAAATCAATTCTCAGGTTTATGGAACAGATTTAATCCTTCAAAGTCAATTATAAAGCAAACTCTATATTCCCATTAACTTCCATTATGAAACTGATAGATTCCCATGAGAAAAAAGATCATTTAAAAGCTTAAATAAAATAAAATAACATGTAAAGCATTTTGCAAACTTTAAAGAATTATATAAATGTTAGTTATTATTATAATTAAGCTGAAAACTTTTGGTAAGGAAGTGTTTAAGATAGCTGTCAGTCCTAGAGTATGTGAGCATTACTGTTCTACCATCACTTAACTTTTTCGACTCTGAGATATCCTCTCAATTTTTAGTGATCCTACTATTTTCTCAGAGTCACAAGAATTCCTCCACATGGTTATGAATCTCAACTTTACACACGTAGTCCCCTCCAGTTTCCTTTTCTTTTGTCCAAGTATTTACAACGTTCAGTAATGCTAGACAGCATTAATATCAGTGGGTTTAACAAATGATGCGTCTATAAAATTCTCTGTGAAAGTTCCTTTAGAAATGTAATTATTAACTTCAAATTAAATTTCTGGTAAACAGTAATAATATCTTTATGTCATAATAAAATCCCATTGAAATGCTGCTGCCAGTGGACAAGAACAAATAACATTTGCTGAAAAGTAACAATGGTTCATAAAGTTTATCTGATTGTGACATTTATCATAAATTAATCTGTAAGCTGACTTGTACATTCATTGATGTACGGAAACACCAGCAATTAAATTCTTTCTACAAATTCAGAATGGCAACAGTTCTGCAGTTTGAAATCTTAGAAAGCTGCCTGGGGCACTGAGAGGTTATTTCAAGGTCAAGTGGCCAGTGAATGTTCAAGGTAGGACTTGAGCTTGGGCTTTCCGTACTCCAAAATTAATTTTCTATCCACTATGCAACCCTATCTCTCCAACATTTTTATAGAGCATTATCTGACCAGGAGTATAGTACTTGCCATCTGAACTGTCAACAACACTCAATATAATCACATATTCCAAGCACTGACTTTCAGTGAAATCTTTTAAATTACAGAAAATACTTGTTGTTCAGTCATTTCAGCAGTATCTGCCTCTTCATAACTTCCTTCGAGGTTTTCTTAGCAAGGATACTGGAGTGGTTTTGCCATTTCCCTCTCTAGTTCTGAGGAAACAGAGACCAAGTTAAGTGACTTGCCTAGAGTTACATAAGATTAAGAGTATGAGTTAAAAGTCTGAGGCCAGATTAGAACTCAGAAAGATGAGTCTTCCTGAGTCCAGCCCAGCACTTTATCCACTGAGCCAAACAACTGCCACAGAAAAAATACTCATTTGAAAACTCTGAATGGACGCCATTTTGTTTCAAGATGTTGAATAACAGAACCAAAACGTAAATGTAAACTGCATCTTAACTTTCCTATTTTCAAAATCTTCCTGATTACATTGGTTTGCACTTAAGTGTTATCTTCAATTCCTCAACTGAACTCATTCCACATATCGAATCAGTTGCCACATCTTGATCTAGTGGCTGTTTCCCAATGCTGGAATGCTCTCCTACCTTACCTCTACATTCAAAACTCAGCTCAAATGCCACCTTCTTTCTACACAAGACCTTTTCTGAGGGTTATCTCACCCCAGCCCTCTAGTGTCCTTCTGTTGTCTTCCATTTATTTTGTATATATGTTATATACACTTATATGTGTAAATGTTATCTCCCCCAGTAAAAGGCACAATTTCAGATTTGCTTTTGCATCCCTCAGTGTCTGGCATATAGTAGATGCTTAATAAATGCTTACTGATTTTGAAAAATAATACCAAATTCGGCCAATGTAAATTCATTTTAATAATTTCATGGAACACATAACTATAAAATGTCAGGCAGATTAAAGACTTTACTTCATTCAATCAACAACAAACTGCATAAAATAGTGCCACAATATTCTTTTACTATATTGCAAACTAGACTACCTGGTATTCTGTTCCTAAATGATGCCACAGTGTGACAAGTCTTTATAACAACAAGTAAGTTACTTCAATTAGCCCATCTTCTCCTTACGATATTTCCTCAATCAGGGTACAACACAGTATTCTTCTATCTTCACAATGAAATATTATGATAAGCTTCTCCATTCAGCATGGAAAGGTAAATGCT